GAACAGGGACTGAGCTGCGAATACGCTGCGGCCATGCTATGTTTGAAGTGTGAATGAGTTGCGGTCGAAATGTGACTGAGCCGCAAAACGGCCGTGACGGTTCTGCGAATGAACTGCGACAGAGCTGCGGTCGAGCCGGAAATTGAGCTGCGAATGAACTGCAGCCGAGCTTATTCCGAGCGCTGAGCCGTCCACGAGCCAGCGGTAACCGGATATCAGCCTTCTATGCGACAGCCGGACCGCAGAAAAACAAACACAGCCATCATGTAGCCTATTGAAATTTCGCGGAGCTTTGACAACCGGGTATTGTTTGAGCAGCGGAACAGAACAGACAACCGGAGGCAGTGCGACCGTGCGCGGCAGCAATCAGCGTCTAATACTCACCGGTGGCAGCGAAAGGGTAGATGTAAAAAAGGCCTTCAGAACAGGGATGCGGAGCCGTGGAAATTTCAGACGGCTCCGGCTCCGGCTCCGGCTCCGGAGAAAAAATCGGCTCCGGCTCCGGCTCCGGCTCCGGGTGAAATGTCATGGCGGCTCCGGCTCCGGCTCCGAGTAAAATGATCCGGCTCCGGCGGCTCCGGCTCCGGCTTCTACTCAGTACATCCCCTATGCGATCAATTAAATACGGGTGGAAGAAAAAAAGGCGATTGGATTGGTACACGTTGCTTCTGTATTTGTAGGTATAACAAGGCTATTTTGAATACCACATTGTTTTACGCCTTGTACTGTCAAACCGAACTAGGTAAATAATTGTTTCCTCTTAACCCGCGACCTGGTGGGGGGGGGGGGGCTATTTTTTGCCCCCCCTCCAGACTTTTCGATATATCTCCAGAACCGCTGCGCCGATCGTCACCAAACTTTCAGTACCCTCCCGGACATCAATTTTACACATTGTGACCAAAAATTTTCCAAAGGCTATGATAGGTTGGCCGGAAATGACGTCAGAGTGACGTCATGTTCTGCCGTTTTCGACCCAAAAAAGGGTTTCGCGGGAAGAGCTGTCAGGCCTATAGCTTTGCAAATACAGAAAAATGATAAAGACATAAAAGCTGTAGATTAGACAGGGCTACAAAATTGCTATCTCGGATTTTTGAAATTTTTGGATTTTGACCCCCAAAAATCAAAAAATAGATTTTTTGGATATAATAATCGAAAAATCCAAAAAGTTTTTCGAATTTCGCAAAAACCGGAATAAGTGTGATAGTCTTTACCGCCTTCCATCCACATACCAAATTTGAGATTGATACCTCTTTTTTTGGCGAAGTTATAGCGAAAAAACTGTTCAAAATTGATGACGTCAAATTTTCAAACTCAATTTTTAGCAATTCTAGACCCCGTAGCGCAAAACAAAGACCACCATTAGACTCCCCGTGACGAGCTGCATCGAATCAATACCCATTTTATGCAAAACTATCAACTTTAAAATTTGACCTTTTTTGGCCTGACCTTGACCTGTCCTTGACCTGAACTTCACCAGAAAGTGACCTAAGCCGTACTTGATAGTCTTTTAACCAACACCATTGAGTTGGAAATGAAAAATTGGCCAAAAAACATGTATCACACAACCTTAGTAAAGTTGGGCTCATGTGACCTGACCTGTGACCCTTGGTGACCTGACCTGTGACCTGACCTGGTATTGCCAGTGACCTCTAATAGCAACATATCTACTAGGCAACTGACGCCCTACCGCTGATTCTCGACAAAATGCGTTTTCCTCGGTGTTATAGCGCATTCCCTAGAAGACCCGTGAACGGTGAAACATTTCATCTATGACCTGACCTGTGACGTCATCGGTGACCCCGAGGTCAATGAAATTTGGTTTCCTTCGACAAATTTGACAGGCCTTTCGAACGCCGTTTGAATTTTACGGATCCGTCCAGTAGTTTCGGAGATACGAGGGGGGGCAAAAAATAGCCCCCCCCCACCAGGTCGCGTTATAAACAGACCCCACCAGGGCGCGGGTTAAGAAAAGGGGCCGGAGTCGCCCCCTTTTTTGACGGCTCCGGCTCCGGCTCCGGCTCCGGGCTATATTGTTTCACGGCTCCGGCTCCGGCTCCGGGCAAAATATGCCGGCTCCGGCGGCTCCGGCTCCGGCTCCGGCTCCGCATCCCTGCTTCAGAAGTTTACCAGACTCGAAACTGAGACTGTTGCCGATGTCAACACGGGTCGCCCACACAACATGTTGATCCCTACCCATTTCAATGTCGGATTGGAACTGGGAACACCGGTCTGACGGCCGTGCTCCAAAAAGGCGGATCGACAACATGCATCACCACCACAGAGCTGAATAAAGCAAGGAAATGTGCCTTCGCGTCAAGTCCTTGCTCCTAGATCCTACAGCACATTTTCATTAATAATGCATACATCAACGCGCACATATTCATTAGGCATTCATCCCTATGTCGCCTGCGATTAGGATGTTTTATGGGCCGATTAAATACCAGCTTAGTAAAATGTTATTATTTGATGGGTACATTGCAAAAAAAGACTGCATTTCCACGAAGCGTGGGTAGCTTTAACGTCAATTTTCATTCCCTTGTCACTCTGATGGGAGGATTAATGACCAAGCTACTTTGATGAAGTTGCGTTGGTAAGAATAGACGCTTTAACGAGAAACTTATGAGCGGCAGCTCATAAATTAATGAGCAGCACCACTTCAAGCCGCAGCCCGGCCTCCGGCCAGCCCGTACACAGCGCACTGTTCAGGTTTCACACTAATTGAACAAGTGGAAAGACTAGACAGACAACATCCCAAGACCCAATTATTCATATGGGGTGACAGTCAATATGCCTTGTGAGATCATAAAAAAATCGCACTATCAACATCGGCAATACGTTGGCTAGAGGCAAGGAAACTTCACAGTAGATAGAGTGTGGCGTGTCAAGCTAACTAGCTAACTTGATCGGAATGAGCGTTATTCAGTTATTCATTCAGTTTATCTGAAAAGATCCACGCAAGAGGAGGCTTACTGTTTCACGTCAATCTATTAAACGGTAAGAATAAAAGTGCTAGACAAACAATTGCTCCAATCTGAATCAATAAGGTGACGTATCAGCTATGGAAACCGACGGCAGCTTTACTGGATATTAACGCAGCCGTCTCATCATCGCCTCATCACCTCATCTAACTATAACATCTACAATACATTACATAATTCCAGGGGCGCGGGAACTTCTTTCAGACTTGGGGGGGGGGGGCACACTATAATAGAGATCAACCTGGGGTACCCCGAAATCTAGTTTTCTCAATCTGACCGGTTTTAGGCCACTTATATTTCATCACTTTGCTTTTTCGACGACAAAAGAAAACATTTGCAAAAAAGTGTCTCAAAGTTGTGGGGGCACCGCCCCCCCCCCCCCCCACGGGCCTAGAGTTGGAGGGGGAGGCAGGCTGCCCCACTGCCCCCCCCCCCCCGGTTCCTGCGCCTATGCATAATTCCATCAATAACGTCGTTAATATGCAATAAGGACATCAAAATACGTGTGGCATTGGCTAAGAGCCAGTATCGTTGTGCTCCCACTTCCCCTAACATGAGTACCACAGCCCGCCGGTCCATTTTGGACGTCGTTGCGTATTTCTTCGTACGAACTTGGATGTTACAGCGGCGCACATAAGGTCAGAAGCAGGAAGGACACAACAAAACAAATGTAGATTTCTTTCCTGAGAAAAGAGTCCGCCAGTAGTGAACAAATAGCAAACGTTACAATTGAACCTAAAGGAACCTGGCAGCGATAAATAGCGGTTCGTACTAAGTACTCACAACGGCATAAGCCTGTTGAATCGCTTCCAGTTCTTTACCCTTCGGAGTGCTGAAGCCATTACAACTGTTGCATTATGTTTCGGGTACACAGCCAAAGAACACTGTTTCGAGAAGGAACGTGTGCAGCCCTAAAGAGGGCGTTTCTAGTAAAATTCAGAGTTATGTCTGCACATCATTAATCTTGCATTGGGAGTCCAATTTAAAATTGATGGGCCCGTGAGGACCAGAAAGTACAGTCGCAGTGCTGCTGGCAACATCTCATACAGAGGCGGATCTAGGGGAGGAGCTTTGGTGGCTAAAGCCCTTAACCGAAAAAATATGCCGCCCTAACGAGCCTCTTATCAGAGCGCCGCCACTCTATAAAAATCGCCAATAGCTAAAACAATGTCAGAGGAAGGGGCTAGATAAAAAGTTATCTTCGATCCTCACTACTGGCGCCACAATTGTACAGTCTGTCTTAAAAGTACCGCGCAAAGTGACTGGATGATGTGAATTGCTTCGGTGACTCAAATTTAGTAGGCCCTTCCTCAGTCAGGCTTGATGGATCCACCGTCACTTTGCGCGGTACTTTTAAGACAGACTGTACATGTGGCGAACATGCCGCCCCCCCCCCCCCCCGATGCCATTGGCCCCTAGCCGAAGAAAATCCCGGATCCGCCCTTGATCTCATGCCATTTAAAATCTTCACAGAACTAGCTGGCTGGTGGGAGGGTGCCTGAGGTAGATTGGCGGCAATTTCCGCCGACATTTCCGTTAACGACCAGAGGACGGAGATCTAAGATCGAACCGTTCGAGCCGCACTTGGGCGTTGTTCTGGATTGACAGGCCACGCCTACCTGACTGCAGGGCATTCGGCAGATAGATACTATCCGCAAGATCCTATTTAACAACTCCATTAGCGACTACAAGCCACATAATTCTGTGAAACCCATTAGTATCCACTCTTTCCATCCACAGTTGATAAGCGGATTTATGAATACATTATTTGGACTTAGCAAGCATCCCCGTTATGGCGAAATGGCACGTTTTAACTATGCAGTGGCCTATATTATCAGCCGGGATATCCCTCCATTTCCCTCCTGGTGGCGAGCCCAAGGCAGGGCGGGGTTACGATGGGGCCGTGAGCCTGGACGGGGAGCGTTAGCGTTGGCGGGGGCGAGTACGGAGAAGTGCGCAGGACGTGGGGGAGCGGGAGGCCTAGCGTCGGTACAGAAGGGGGCGGGGCCGATCAGCACCTACCCTTGGCTGCGCCACCAGCTTGTTGGTGCTGAGCAGCGGGCCGGTACAGCAGGACGTGTTGACGTACAGAGGTCCCGTCCACGTACTGGCTGCACTGTCTGGACCCGGCAGCTCAGCTTCCTCCGCCTCAGACCCAGCCGAGCCGTCCGCAGCGCTGCCGAGCAACCACGGGAATCAGAACGGGGCAATGAGACAAGACCGTGTTACCTACGTACTGGAGAACCGAGTACCAGTGTCCCGTCCAAACGAGAACAGGACAGATTCGGGTAACGGACCACGTCACCTCCTCACTATCGCTTTTACAGGTCACATCCGCTCATGAGAACCCAGCTCCTAGTCGCCGCAATTAACCACCTATGAAAGAATGAACCCAACTTTCCCTCCAGAAATTAATCACCGCTGTGTGAGACTTTAAACTAATCCAACGTACCAAATAGCCTCTATACGAAGTGCTGGCTCCTTACCCACTGTCATAAGGCCGAGCGACTTTTCAACTCCCTCACAAAGCAGCAGTGTCCGGGGAGCCTAAATCGCGTCCGGGGAGGATCCTCACCTGTGCGTCCGGTGGCGGCGGTCTCCGGCCGAGCGGCGGCGTCGGCGCGGGCGGGGGCGGGGGCGGGGGCGGCGGTCGTCCCAGTCGAGAGGCGGCTGGAACGATGCGCCGTTGGACGCCGCCCATCCCACCGGGAACAGCGAGTCGCTCGTGTGCGGATAGATGAAGTCTGGTGCGCTGAGGGGGAGAGGGGATGGTTAGAGTCCGCTGATGGTTTGTGTGCGTGTGTAGTGGGAATGGGGAGAAGTCAGAGAGGGCCAGGCTCTCGCTGATGGGGCATTGACACACAAGGTTGACAGGCGGTCCTAATGGCAGCATACCACAGATTGACAGGACGTGGGGAAATCGATACATCAACTCGGTGACATTGTATGCCTAACAAAGTGGCATTTTGGAGAACTGATAAGCAGACAGTAAGTTGGATATTACAGACAGCATGCACCAGTCCAAGAACCCCGTCAAAAGCCCGGATATTAACAGCTCTGCTATCATGGGCAGATGGAGTGTTGCGTAGCTCTCATCCAATAGCCTTCAACTGTAAAGAATATTATATGTCTGGCCACACGAGAGGCCCACACAGCCCTATTGACAGTCGTCTGCCGCCCCTGGGTCCTTTCTCTGACCTCCTCACTCACCCTGCCGCCGAGAGCAGCCGCAGCCACACCAGGTGTCCGGCTGTCCGCTGCACGGCGGCCGCACACAACTGCTCGGACGCCTCGGGATCCACCAGCTCCAGAGCAGTGCCGGCGGCCAGTCCGACCTCGTCCGCCGGCTCCTGGGCCGCCAGGTCGGAGGACTGAAGTCGTGGGGTATCGTCCTCCGGGGGTTCTTCAGTGGCCGACGCAGTCTCGGGAGGATCCACCGGACAGGGTCCAGCGGTTGAAGCGTCTATTTTCTCCGTAGGCCCACCAATGGATGACACAGTCACTGGTGAATCTAGAAGACAGGATCCGGCGGCAGGCGATCTCACCTTCTCCGGCGGTTCGTCGACGGCAGGCGCAGCCAAAGCAGCAAACTCCAAGGGATCAAGACTAGCGGCAGGGGAGACGATATCCTGTGGTCGCGCATCGGTAGTCGGCGCCGCCGTAGCAGACTCCATGAGCTCAGCACTGGCGCCAGAGGAGCCGTCCTTCTCCGGTGGTCCGTCAACAGCCGGTGCTTCAACAGAGGACTCTACAGGACCGAGACCGGAATCGACCACAGGAGACTTCACGAGACCGCAGTCAGTGCTAGATGAGCCAGTCTCCTCCGACGGCACGACGCCGGCTGGCATTGCCACAGTAGACTCTTCAGGATCGAGATCGATGCCAGCCACAGGAGACTTCTCAGATTCGGGCTTGGCGGCTGAGCGGTCATCAGCACCTGTTTGCGCACGGCCGGCTGGCGAAGTCATTGAAGAATCTTTAGGATCGACACCGGACTCGGAGCTGACTGCAGGAGATGCCCCAGGTCCGGGCTGGGTACCAGAGAAGCCGTCTTCCCGCCTCCCGTCACCGGCTGGCACTGTCATTGAATAATCTATTGCACCGAGACCGCTGCTGACTGGAGGAGACTGCACATGAGCGGGCTCATCGTCAGGGGTAGTGTTTTCCGGTCGCTCGCCACCGGCTGGCGTGGTCACAGCAGACTTAACTGGGCTGGAGCCCGCACCGACCGCAAGAGACTGTACAGAAAGGAATTCGTCGCCAGGTGAGCTGCCCTCTGGTCGCTGGTCACCGGCCGGAGTAGTCGTCACAGAATCTTCAGGACCTAGATTGGAAGAAAGGCGGCCGCTTTCCTGTGCCGCCATCGCAGATTCAACAGGTCCAGACCCAGCGCCAAGGGAACTAGTTCCTTCCATCTGCATGCCAGTGATTGGTGCAATCACAGGAGATTTTACAGGACCGGGCCCAACGGCCGGAGAGACATCCTCTGGTGTTACACCACCAGTTGGCGCTGCCACGACAGATTCCACAAGATCTAGACCGGAGCCCGCCGCAGGAGACTTCCTGGGACCAGAGCCGGCGGCAGATGAGTCGTTATCCTCCGTTCGTCTGCCATCGGCCGGGGTAGTCACAGGAGACGCTACAGGACCAGATCCGATGCCAGAGGAGCCGTCTCCTAGAACGGCCACAGTGGGTGCGTCCCTGTCGACCACCTTCTCCTGCTGGTGCTGGATTGCGGTGTCTTCAAGCGGCGTCGTCTCGATCAAGGGAGCCGCGCTGCTTCCAGAGACGTCACTGGTTGGCGATGGCTCGATAAGGGGAGCCGCACTGTTCGCCACAGTCACAGACCGAAGGGCATTAGACACATCATCAGCCAGCGACGAGCCGCTAGAAGCATCGGAGGATGCGGCTGCAGCAGCACCGGGAACCGCAAGAGTGTCTTCAGAGGTCGGCGGCTCTGTGTCGATTGCCGGTGGGGCAGCCTCAGCAGCCTGGAGCAATTCTTCAGTAGTTCGGAGGGCAGCTTCAATCGCTGACTCCGGCTCGGCGGGCACGTCCTCCAGCGGAGGGCAACCACCGTCCTCTGGTGAAACATTTTTGACTTCCTCCATTGGAGAGTCATCAACGTTCTCCAGCGGAGGGTCATTGCTGTCCAACAACTCGAGAAGCACGTCCTCCGGCGGAGAAACTTCGCCGTCCTCAGGATCGTCACCATCCTCCAGCTCGAGAAGCACGTCGTCAGGAGGAACATCGTCACCGCCTTCCGACTGCGCGTCGGTGGCAGTCGGAGAGAGATCACAGCCGAGCGACAGCTCAACTTCGACGGGCTCCGGGCTGTTCTCCTCGATCTCAGTGGGACCCGGAATATCCCGCTCCACCTGAATGAGCCCAGGGCCGGTCATTTCCTCCAGTAATACATCGTCACCCGGCGGGCTCGGCTCTGACGGCGGTGGACCAGCACCGGACGGCGGACGCGAGCCGGGACTGGCGGCGCAGGACGGTGTGCGCCGCTCGTCAGCCCCCGTCGGTGGCCGGGACAGCACCTCCTCAGAGACGGGACTGAGATGGAGCCACGGCTCGCCGCCATCCAGCACAGCCGGCTCGTCCGTCCCCTGCCCGGGCTCCTCGAGCAGCCACTCTCCCACCACGCCGCCAGACAGCGACCCGCTCAGCTCGACTGTCTGCGCACTGTCCGGTCCGTTGTCTGCCTGCCTGGAATCAGACAGCGGAGACATCACCGGACTGTCTGGGAAATCGTCCATCGATTCAATGTCAGACAGACCCAGGCCCGTATTATCCACCAGCATGGCATCGGGCTCAGATGTTTTGGGAATGTCCACAGCCTGTTGACTGAGCAGTGGGTCATCGTCTTCGGTATAGTCTGGCAGATCCGTTTGCTGGCTGACTGATGCGCCCTCTGCCTGCTCGCTGTCTGCAAGATCCAACGTTCGCTGGCTGTCTGTAATTTCTTCCATCATCTGACTGTCCGGTATATCCACTGTTTGCTGACTATCTGCTAAATCCACTGTTTGTTGACTGTCTGGGAGATCTAAGGCAGGCAAACTGTCTTGCATGTCTTCCATGTGCTGATTGTTCAGTATCTCGTCTGGCTTCTGGCTATCTGGCAGATCTTCTCTTTGCTGGCTGTCTGGAAGATCAATTGTTCGCTGACTGTCTGGGATATTCACCGTCTCCTGGCTGTCTGACAGGTCTTCTTTATGTTGGTTGTCTGGTATGTCACCTGGTTCCTGGCTGTCTGCTATGTCAACTGTCTGCTGACTGCCTCCGAGATTCGATGCTTGTTGACTGTCTGCTATGCTCTTCGTCTGTTGGCTGTCTGCTATATCCACTGTCTGCTGGCTGTCCGGTGTATCATCTATCTCCTGTTTGATCTCCGGCTCCTCTGTTTGGTGTCCGTCCCCGTTCGGAAGTTTCTCGGCTCCCTCGGATAGGTCCTGGAGTGGGGAGGCCCGCTCGGTGGTATTCTCCTCCTCGGGGGACGGAGCCCGGGAGGGCAGCAGGTCGTCACCGGAACAGTCCAGACCGTGCTCCTGACACCAACCTGTAACACGCAACGGGGGCGGCGGACCGAGCTCAGCAAACTATCCTCGTTTGACAGAGAAATGTCTGCGAAACATAAGTAACATCAATCAAACATCGTTAATAGATAACGAGATTAATCACGAGATCATGAGGGTAACTGACACGAGATTGATCGACTTTCCCGGAGGACAGTGGATGCAAACAAAAATAACTCAAGATGCCATTACAGTGTTCAATCTCTGTTATGAATGCTTTTAGAGACAATTTATCAACCTCGATGGATGACATAATTATTGTAAACATAGCCATAAGATGATAAACAACTAACAGTACGACATCATCACTGTGTCCCGCCTCACCGAACGGAAGGATGGTCGGATCGTCCAGTGAGGACAGCCACGAGACGGTGGAGTCATCTATCTGCACGCGGAAGAAGTACGAGTCTATGACGGCGACCACAGAGGCCGGGCAGATGGCCGTGCGGTCCGGGTGCACGGCCTCCAGTCGGCAGCCCACGGTCAGTGAGTGCTTGGTGGGAAACTCGAACTTGACGTGCTGCCGGTTACACGAGAGGAACGGGTGTCAGCAAATGAGCGTGAACATACACTACCTTGCTTTAGCAATGATGAGTATGGCACGCATGATCTTTAATTAGTTACCGCTAATACGGAACAATACATGACTTGAACAACTGTGACTTATTTTAACATAAGCGTAACAGCAACATTCAACCACCCGTTAGATTGTCGCTCCAACATCAACGTCGGACGACTCTACCGGACCACTCCACCGCTGTGTTGTAAGCAGCAGGCACCCACCGGCAGTATGGAGTCGTCGACGGCCATCTGACGCGCCTCGTCCCGGCTCATCTCCAGAATGGCCTGCCACTCCGCCTCGGTACGGTCGTTGGCACACGAGCTCGGCGGCTGGTACACGAACGGAGCGCCTGACAGGACGGAAAACGTAAACTACAGGATACGGGCACTTTAGCTCACAAGAGACAGGCATTTTATTGCGTACATAAATTTTCGTACAAACAACTGCCAACTAATACAAGTGAAGCTTCATCGCATAACTTTTCAAATTCAACCAGCATAGTCGCATGTTTGAACATTGACAGCCGATACTCACGTCACACACATACACGATAAATTAAAATTTCGCCCTGTCGCCCGACAAATCGCCTCATGGGCTTTCAAAATCGACGTGGGTCATGTTTTGACGAGCCGGATGAGTGGGCCAATTTCTCGGCTACCGTTGCAGCGGGGTACGGGCGCTCGCCACTACTCATCACACAGAGGTCATCACAGTTGCCGGTCGGACTTACCGGTACGGCCCGCCCAGCCGAAATGTCGGACCCGCGGAGAGTTGGCGCACAACCAGAGGTCGGGCGTGTTATCCAGTGTGTCGCGGCGCAGGTGGAGACGGACCCCGCACCGCTCCAGAACCTGGTAAAGGAGACGGTGGCCATACTGAGTTCCAGTTCAGATGGCACGGGACAGGCCTGGGTGGGTGCAGAATGCATATCATATAAGGGTAATGTCAGTTGGTGGATAACATCGGCCATCGACGTGTGCCCCGTCAATCGGCGAATTCGTCAGACATTCTCTCAATTCGGAATGGCGATTTCTTGACTAGCGAGCACTGAGCCAGTAACATGGCTTGATATAGCTAAGATTCACCAAAGGTTTATAGTTTGAACCCATTGGCCATTGGAGAGTAACATAGAGCCTTGAGCAAGTTGGCTCGGGTCGGGTAAGACTGCTTAAGTCAAATCAAATCAGGTTGGTTTAGGTCAAATCAGGTCGTTTTCCGACATACCGTGGCCGTCCAGACGTGGTACGGCTCGTTATCGTCCAGCAGCTCCAGCTTCATCCCCTCGGTGATCCGCTCCAGATCCACTCCACACTGCGGAAAGCAGACATGGCGGGTAGTCAGACACTCAGTCCAGACAGTGGCCCATGCACAGCAGACATGGCAAGACAATCAGACACTCCAGACAGTGGCCCGTACACAGCAGACAAACCGAAACAATCAGATACGCCAAATGCAGCTGCCCGTACACAGCTGCCACTCACCACACTCAATACTTAGCTGAACATCGACACAATTCAGACCAGCCAAACAGCGGCAGCAAACACTAATCAAGAGCAGACGGTGGACATTACTCGTGACGAGCCCGACCGTCACGTCGGTCTCCGCTTAGTGCTCACCGTCCGGACTGGTGGCGCCCCCTGCTCCTGTTTCAGTCCCGTAACGCCCTCTGGTAGTTCGTCGGCCGAGATTCCAGGCGGCGCCACCGTCGGTACGTCCTGCTGCCGGCTCCACCCGAGCGGTCGTAGCCGGGAGCCGGCCGCGTCGCACCAGAGGTCCCCAGCCGAGCCGCTGCTGCCCAGGTACCGCACCCTGCCGGGGTCGACGAGAACGTTACTGGCCAGATGTAGGTCGGCAAATATGCATGCCAGTCACCTCAACGCAAACCAAACAATGTCTCCTCAGATTAGTTTCCTCAACAGTATCAAAGCAAGTTTCCCATTTATTGTATCTTGGTGTTTGGTTATCCAGATGGCGGATAGAGCTCCTCATCCCCCTTAGCACCCAGCAGCACTGACCTGATCAGACCATCACAGACCATGGTGACCGTGGCAGGCCAGACCGATTCACCGCCACCTGCCACCACCTCCACCACCTCTCCCACTGAGTAGCTGGGAGCATCCTGCTGAACCTGCAGCACAGCCATGGAGCCATTCACACACGTGAGAATGCCCTTATGACTGGGGTATCTTAGAGAGAAACAGGACTGAAGATGAAGACTGAATGACTCAATAACTAGCTATGATGTATTATAAATGACAAGTTATTGATCATTCCTCATCTGTCAACTACCTTAAAAATCTATTTACTTTGCTGCAAATGTAATAAGCACTTGCTTACCAGTTACCATTATCTAAATCTGCCTACCATGAATCATGTGTTGTCATAAAATATATCTAAATTTAATGAAAATGATTGTACTAAGACACCAATCACATCTTCTTACATGTTTAAATACCGATGAGTCCGCAGCTCCCAATTCAGAATCTTCCAAATATTGTTCCCAAATGAAGCCTGTAAGTGTTTCCAAAAACATCATCAGAGTATGAACAATGGACATGCATTAGCCTTCCAGGCTATCAAGTATCAACCTCTCTTTAAGAATAGGTATACTAATATTTTGTTATTCTGGAGCACTCAGTTGAAAAAAGTTTTGTATTGCCTGTTGCCAAATAATATTATTATAAAAATAATTGCTTGGGCTAACCAATTGCTTATGAGGAATAAAATAAGGTAATTCAGAGATTACCAGAAACAAGGAAAACAAAGCATAGGTACACAAATTATCATCTGATTCCACAAATCATCAATGGATAATAATGAGTGTCAAGCAAATACAAAGGGCAGCAGCCAGCAAGGGTTGGTAACTACATCAAATATTGCCAAAAATAATTCAGAATTTCAAAACCATGTCCCAAATTAACTAAAAACCCGGCTTCAGAATTAGGAACTACAAAATTGAAATAGCCCAGAACTGCAAGCATATTCAATCACAATAACCACTTATGAACAGTCAAAACATTAAAAAGCACCCTCACCTTCACTTCCGCATTTAGCAGCTATATTGCTATCTGCATCAGAATCCATTCTGGTTTACCTATACTTAATTCAAAATTGAAATAGGATCAGAATAGACCTGCACTTCTTGGACATCTCTTTATGTTTCAGTTTCAGCCTTCAGGTCATATCTCAGGACCCTCCTTCACTCTTCGGCATTGTCCTGTATCAGCAATTGACACGTCCGTATCTTACTTGCCTATTTCTAGTTATTTGCTAATTATCGTCTATATCAGCTTCCCAGCCTCCAAGATCAGCGAAATCCCACGCTGATTTGTTGATTTGTTGTCGCCTATGCAGTATTGCCGAATGTGTTCACAACTTTCGCTGCACCTGCTCACGGATCAGAAAAGGCCGCGCTTTCAAAAATATCAAACGAAATGCTATAGCGATTTGAAATCGTAGCTTGCTGCGTAGTTTCTTGAATACTAGCTTTCAAAGCTGAACGTTACATTAGCGCATTTTATGGCGCAGAATTGTTTAGCGCCATATACTTCCAAATGAAGGAATTTCTTCAGCACTGCTAACGCACGGCAAGGCGGCGCACATATGTTAGTTTTTCGGTTTCTAGCATTTTATCGACAAATCACGAAACTGCTGACATGTAGAGGGGAAAGGGCTCTTAGGAAGTTCCGCACCTGCTGCGTCCAAAATGTACGATATTTTCTCATTTTTCATAGAAAACGGAGTCACGAGCAGGGGTGAAAAATTGTATCGTTTTGTCGTTGTCGACGACAACCGAGAAGACGATCCTATGGCGACCACGCGCAGCGCCTGAATAGACTTAGACCTTCCGCTTAGTGCGGTTAGTAGCGCGCAATCCATTCGCGTCTGCCCACCCATGACCCAACCCTATCGCCTCTGCCTACGCAAACCATTCTCTGCCCCTACCCCATCAAATCGACTTGCAGTTCTCGAGTCCGTTACCTCCCTACGCGGCGGCATCCCAGTGGAAAATTTCCTGGTAGTTACAGACATATTCCAACTCCCCGGAGCTATTTAGTATATACTGCGTCGTTCGACCATCGTTCGGACGGCCGACCGGCGACCCTCATAAAGACGACCAATGACATACCAAGTGGTCGCCGTGGTTGTCCACTGGCAACACGTGTCTGGCAAATCTAGTACCTTCCAGGACTCGGCCGGCCCCTGCCCGCACCCTTCAGCGCCGCCCCTGGCCGGCGGTCAGTTAGCGTCCCCTCCAATCCGCCGGGGCTCCTTTTGTGACGTCATACCCACCCCCGGCGGCGCCTGGGGGTAGGTCCGCAGTGGGACCGCACCAGTGCCGGTAATATTTTGATGTGGGGAGGGCACGGCATGTCATGCCCACGAGGATATGTTGTCTCGGGACTTCCAAGGTCGAGGAATAAAGATCGCCGGACATTTGAGCCTGACAGCTGAGCGCGCTGCGCTATCAAGGAAAGGAATTAGAATGTATTCGCACGCAGGGTCCGTGGCTTCTGCACGACTGAAGTGCATGTACTACTTACGGATTTTAATGTGGTGTTTAGGTATAGTTTTAATGGACGCTGGTTCTCTGTATGAAATGTTTGACGGTTTTAATATGTTTTGTATATGATCTGTTTTAATGGACACTTGTCTTCTGGGTTTTATCCATCTAGTACCTAAGACTGTGTCAATAAACTACTACTACTACTACTACTAACTTGAGCACGTTTTGTTCAAAGGTGAGTGGAAGTCGACCAGTGGCACCGTCGAAGAGTCGCGGAAAGGGTCAAAAATGCTATCGAATCTTTTCCGCGGCGCCGTAGCTCTATAATTGGTTCCCGGGTTGCGTGCCACTGTTTCGAAAAAAAATCATTCAATGGTATCTGGTGACCTCTGACCTTTTACTTGACCTAAAAAATGAATGACATATTTTCGTCCTTATTTTGGACGTTCTTTCGAATGCCGTTTACTGCTTGTCACTACTTGACCTAGGATCAGACTTAAAGGGACCCTCCCACCTTCAAAAAAGTTTATGAATTGGCATGAAAGTGATGTCGCTCGGTTCAGAAAGAGCAAAAACGAATATCTACCAAATTTCATCGAAAAATATTCACCGGTTTTCAAGATATTAGACTTTTACTTTTGTTTACTTTTTGGGATCTCCGCTGTTCCTAGCGACTTTATTTAAAAGTGCGGCATTTGTTGCGCGCAACGCAGCATATACCACCGCGTGCTACAAAACGTTTTAGTCAAACATTTAAAAATCGTTAGATATCTGCGCTGACGTCACACATTCAGAGGGGTATTCCTATGCATTAGCCCCTCTGAATCAAAATGCTGCAATTTTGAAATTCAATATTTCCGATTTAAGGCATTTCTCGATGTTGTGAGTGCCGAAACCGGTAATTGTGAGCCAGGGACCCCATTTTGGCTATCTCAACTCAAATCTAATGTTAAGGTGGGAGGGTCCCTTTAAGAGCGAGTTGTTGACCCCCCCCCCCCCCCAGCAAGCTGTGGAAATCAAGGACCCTCAGCGGGGCGCGGATTAGACATCTTGAGTTGACAACCAAATAATCCCGTTTTCTTTCGGACGACAACCACCGAAGCACTTTTTTCAGCCCTGGTCACGAGTCACAGAAACCGAAATAAATTTTCTTTCTTAATTGAACTGTCTTTTTACGATAGCCAATAGCCCTTGAGCAGCCTTTCTCGGTGAAATGCCAAGGTACTGTGCCCCATACGCAGCGTCATGTACCTTACCTCCTAGATCCGCAAGTAAATGGAACATGTTTGTATATACCTTTACCGTTACATCCGTCATAACACCACGCAGCAAGCACAACCAGCCTCCAAGAGGACCAAAAACACTGCTGACACATTTCCACATTGTATTGAGGGGAGAACGAGAGTTGAATTGCAGTTCCTACTTCCTACCTACCTAGCACCTAGTCAGCTACGAACGACTGAGGTTACATGCATGGTCTCGGACGGCGGAAATTTGCTGCGGCGCCGCCCGCTGCGTAACAGACGGTCCCAATCACGGGTATCACTGGTCATTGAGGCGATTGGACAGCCGCACTACAGAACTAATAAATAAAGCTTGACATATTCAGCGCACAGCCTGCAGCGCTGCGTGCCGCCGACTGACGGAGCCATTACGGCGCCAGGTGGCCTGTCACGGGTGACCTGACACAGGTGACCAGTGACAGGTAACCGGTGACAGCCAGCAGGTGACCGGTGACCTGTCACAGGTGACCCATGACCTGTGACAGGTCACCGGTGATCTGTGGAAGGTGACCTCACGGCCCAGTCGCAATGTCGGCAGGCCCCAGTGCCGAACAGCAAGCGTTTTGTACCTTTAAAAGCCGCACATACCGTTTTGCACGCACACCGAGAACAAAATCAGACGCCGCTGACAGCGGGCGGGGGCGGTGGCGGCCGGCGCCGCCGCCCCCGCCCGCAAGTGACGTCACGAGGCAGCCTCCGCCACGAGGCAGCCCCAATACAGGCAAGCCCGTACCTGACATACCGAGCACCCGCGCAGCCAACAGGCTTCCTCCCCTCTCACGAGACGCGCCTCGACCTTGGGTCCAACCGAGTTAAATAAAACTCTGACTCGCTCATTTTGATAGCATGAATTTACATGTTGCTAACATTGTCCGGCAGGCGGCACCTGCCGATAACCGGCTGCCCCTGCGTCGCTTACACGCTAAAGCTTCCAGCTCCGAGCCGTCCGTCATGCTCTCTCTCCCTCTGCCTCTCCCGAAATATCACCACAATGACAGACACGCACACGCCAGTAAAGCTCCGTTGTCCAATTCATTCATAGGTCGGCACTAGCCTGGAGATTATTGGTCAATCAAAAATCATCATAGGCCTAATTTGCTCATTTAGCTTCGAGATCGTGCGTCCAATAACAGCACGGGTGTGTGACCCGTGTACACTGCGGAAAATGGTCAGCTCCGGCCGGCGGTGGGCGATGGGTGCGCCGCGCGGTGGGTGGCTCGGAGCGGCAGAGCGTCAGAGTGGCCGGAGGCCGGCCGCTCCCCGAGGTAGAGTACCAGGTACTTTCCAGTGGGGTTCGCCACACCCGACCAGTGACGGCCTGGAACACAGAAAGGCAGGGTTCAGAAACACGATGGTAATTAAGTGTCAAGTGCCGGTAAGAGGGAGTCACAGGGAGTCACAACAATCACAGCAGGCCTAGAAATAGGTGCGGCGCGGTGTCATTGCTCCCTCTGAGTCCTCCAATCCCACACCCGACGCCCGATCAGCCAACACTCCCCGGCGCGTGCCACCATCCGCACCACCGCCGGAGAACGGTCGACGCTCGGAGCCCGATCAATTTACCCGGAGAGACGTCGGCCGAGAACCGCGTCAATTGCGCAACTGCGGCTGTGTTGCAACGGCCGATGGTGCGGTGCCCTCGGCTGGGCGCAGCGACCCGCTCGTGACAGTGAGCCGCGCGGTACCAGCCCCAACTGTCCGAGCCACGCCGAACCGTGCTGCATGGAGCGCGATCAAAGCGGTGCCTATTATCGACTGGGCCCGCGCCACGGCCGCTGTTAATGAAATGTGGAAACTGCATGCATGACCGATGACGAGTGTTCTGGCGGTCGGTGCGCCCGAGCGGCCGCTGGTGGCCTGGCGGGTTGGTGCGCCCGTGTGGTTGTTGGGTCGGTGCCCCAGGCTAAAGAACAGATTCGACTGCAAATATGGTGGCATCGTGACATTCAAGGGCACTATTCCTAAAAAGGCAGTGTAAATGTCACATCAACAAAACAAAAGCTCCCCATTTTAGGTTGCAGGTTTAATTAGATCGCAATGAATGTGACTTTGAGGCCCCGTGCATCGGCGTCGGATACAATACGCATGATGTTTGCATAGGTGTGTCAATGCATGAAATGAGAATAGCTCGGTGATAAGTGCTATATATGTACACAAAAAAGCAGCATCTGCGGGAAAACATTTTATAAAGCGACCTCTAGTTGACCTTGTGTACCTGTGCGGGACTGAATTCATACACTATCAAAACAAAGGAAGTTCGTTTCGTTGCCAGGCGTCCCAACTGTCACCGACAGGCGGGGTACTTCAGATAAACACCGCAGTGGTTTAGCGTTCCCTGAGCAGTGGGCGGCGCGGGTACGGCGCGGGCGGATCGCCCGGCCCGGCGGGACGCGATATTAATCCACCCACTGATGACACCTAATGACACGGTTGGCTCGGTGAGCGCACGGCACCTCCCTGCCGGCCATGACCCGCCGCCGGTCGCGCCTCAACTCACCTTAGGCCAGCAGGGCGCGGCGGCCGGTGGTGACCGCCAGAGAGGCGAGTCCCAGCGCGGCGCCGTCAGCCTC